ACAGACATCCAAACCTTAGAAAAGATCTGTGAACGCTTTTATACTTGATGTTGTCCGGCTGAAGCAGACATCTGCTTATTTCTAACAGAGCTGAGCTGTGGGAGAAAATATTCAGGCTTATTTAATCTTATTCTCCATCACCTGTGGGTTTAGTGCGTTCACTTAATACTAATGATAAAATTATAAATAACAGGTCGCTACAGTCTGGGCTAGGACGCGTTTCTAGGAACAGAAGCTAGTTGGGTTAGGGTTGACAGCAGCTCACCTGTTCCTGCTCATCAGCAGCAGGTGATCTACAGAGTAACACCGGCCCCAAAAAAAAAACAACAATAAAACAGAACTCAAATCGGGCCACCAGGAATTTCCCCAGTTGGGTCCTGGTTCCGCCCCCGCCGTCCCCATAAGACAGGAGCTACTCACCTCGTTAACTCTCATTGTGACACCAGAGCTCGTCTCCGTTGGCGCTCATTAGTGTGACTAGATTCTATAAAGTTTTCATAAATAAACAACTTAGATCTGTGGCTCGTACTAAACCAAAACCAGAGCACATCGCCGGAGCGAGATTATAGTGAGTGTGCACGTTTTTACCGCTTAAGCTTGGCTTAAGCTTGGTTTATGCTTGACGCATTTACTTTCCGCTTGGTGATGGGAAACACTGAGTTTGATTAAACAGCACAATGCCACAGATGTCGCAACCTGAGGGAGCGTGCAATTGGCATGCTGACTGCAGGACTGTCTACCAGAGCTGTGGCCCGTGAAACTAATGTTTATTTCTCTACCATAAGCCATCTTCAAAGGCGTTACATCCAACCGGCCTCCCAACCGCAGACCACGTGTGACCTCACCAGCCCAGGACCTTCACATCCAGCATGTTCCCCGCCAGGAACGCCTGACACCAGCCACCCGGACAGCTGCAACAATTGATTTGCATAGCCAGCGAATTTCAGCACAAACTATCAGAAACTGTCGCAGCGAAGCTCATCTGCATGTGTATGTAGGCAAATTTTCAGCTATTTGAGTTCAGCTCATGAAAGATGGGAGCAACAACAAAAGAGTTGCGTTTATATTTTCGTTCAGAGTATATACTGGACAATTCATGTCCAAAGGCTCGAATTATAAGGTTTTGTTCCCAAATGGGAGGGTCCCACCACTGCCATTTTGACCATGTCACACATCCCGTCACACCCAGACAATCCAAAGATGGGATAAAAGGTGGAGCTGAGGGTAGGGCTATTACAGTTTGAAAAAATAAACCAATGTAGCTGCTAGCTAACCCAAGAAGCTAAGAAGGGCTCAGGTTGGCCCACCTGCACTGCAGACTGGCTTCCGTGCGAGGCTGTAGTCATGCTGGTCGCCTGTGGACATCTATTTTGGACCAGGACTGTTAAATTACAAGGGGAACCTCAGACCGCTGCAATCGTAGCCATGGCCTTTTACATCAGCTCTTGCTCCACAATCGGAGATCGCGGGACATTAGCTGCATGCTAACCCAAGGCTAACAGAGTTTTTCCGCAAGAAAACATGGTAGAGAGAATCCAAAGTGAAGGCGCCTCCGGCCTGCTTAGTAACAAAATCATAACTGTGTAAGCTGACCGAGGATATTGGGCTTCGCTGGTCCACTGCGGTCAAAGATCCGCCGCTGAGCCAAGTCGACAACATGCAGACTCTCAGATCTTTGACTGCGGTGGAACAGCGAAGCATGATAGCCTCCCTAACCCTATTTTTGCTACCCAGCAGCTACACCAGGGGTCGGCAACCCGCGGCTCTTCCATCCATCTGATGCGGCTCTCTGTGCTTGTAAAATAATGAATGGATATTTATGTGACAGTGTGAGCGTCCTGTCACAGTGTCCCGATTGATCATGCGCCCCGGCTTCTTGGCCAAGGGGATGTCCCTTTGGCTGACTGGTTAGAGCGTATGACTCTCACCCGGGAGTCTGGGGATCGAATCCCGTCCGGGCCCTCGCCCCTCCACCTTGCCACATTTAAATAAAAAGCTTTATATTTTACTGCATTAATTTTACATCTGTATGCTAATTCTAAATGTAAAGATCGTCTGCGTAAACCTGAACAGTTCCAACCCGGTCTTACTGTGAGACCGGGTTGACGGGTCACGCTTGTGCGTAATCATAGGCGCTTCCTGAGCTGAAGAGGATGTGAGATTCTGGGCTTCTCCTCAGACGGATCCTGGATGTGTCGCCACATTGGAGACAGGAACAAGCGCTATTCAGCCAAAGTTTCATAATCAGGGAACATTTTCTAAGTGACAAGTCTCGCTTCAGTCGGAGGAATCTTCCCGCATGCGCTCTGGTTCTGCGACGCGCTCCAAGCCCCTCTCCACATCTTCAGCTCGCTGTGGACCTTATGTAGTACACGCTGACAGTGAGCTGCGCTGAGCAGTGTCCAGCTCAGATGTTCAGATGGGAATCTTTTCTTGAGTGATTTAGCTACATCTGCGATGTGCGAAACGAATAAAATGTCAGTTCGTCTGCATGCGTCGGGGTAATTCTTTCTATTCTTTCTCCGTCAAAATAAACGGCCAAATACGGGAACTGTCCGGTCAACACAAGCCCTGCTTTAACTGTTCTGTTTTCTTGTGAAAATTGTTACAAAGAGATATAATTTAACTTGATTACCACCAGAGCCAGGCGCACTGCTCCGTTATCTCGTCACTGTAAATGAGGGAAAAACAAAATGATCGGATCCTTTTCTGACCTTCCCCACCTACAAAGTTTAATTACAACAATCAAACGTGACAGAGCCTGGATTTGTATTCTGAACAGTCTAAACATGTTTTAAAAAGAAACGTATGACAAAAGTGGCACCTGCTCAGTAAAACCACCAACAGGGTGAAACATATCTAAACATTGTCGGCAGAGACGGGCTACAACTTCTGGATCCACTTTATATAAATCGTTTTATTGATTATCGTCTTATGAAATATAGCTTTGACGTACACGAGCGACCGGTACCGGCTGCTGTCACCAGTTGTGAGCAGCGCTCTGCTGTCTGAGGGTAGGCCCCGCCCACAACGCCGCACTGCTGTGGCTCCCAGTGTTTTCTTTACTGTGGGAAACGGGTAATAATGGCTCTTTGATGGGAACAGGTTGCCAACCGCTGATCTACATCAACACATTATATTTCAACCCATCTTAGACCAAGCAGTGTTATGGTGAACGCATAACCCCCCCCACCACCACCACTACCACCACCACCACCACCCCCTTCAACGAGCATGATGTAAACATGTTTATTTCTACTGTGAAATTTTTAACATGGGAGTCAATGAGGATTTCCTCACTTCTGGTGCTAGCCCCTAGTGGATGAGAAAGGAACTGCAATTTTTGCCACTTCTGTGTTGGCTTCCATTTTACCGCAGAATTATGAGGGCTTGGTTGGGACCCACCCACGCAACGCCATTATGCATTTACACAAGAGCCCTCTGGCGTGCCCGCAGAGGAAGACGGAGACACGCCAAGATTTTTAACTATACGTCAAAAGAGATGGAGAACGCAAGCTTGTGATTGGTCAGTACGCCACTTCCTGTAAATTCGTCAACAGCACCATCTTTACCGCTTCCAAACGTAAAGATATTCAGCAGCAGGCACGTGACTGTAATGGTGGCAGGATCCCGCAGAATAGCGCTACACCCTCTTCTGTTGCAACAATCCCCAGCTGGCAGAAGTCTGAAAGCAAGACGTCCGTCAATGCGTGTGCGTCTCTCGCTGGAAGCTGAAGAAGTATCATTTAGCCTTTAATTAAAGAGCAAGTCACCCCTACAAGAAACTTACTTCACTCCCACTTCCTGTTTGAAAAATGCAACACATGCTGTTGCCTAGCAGACCGGGAGGCCAAAGCCTCTAACAAAAACACACACACACACACACACACAGGCTCACAAGGGCATTGTGACATCATAATGAACCAGTTTACATCATAGCATACCTCTTAGCCAATAGCGGTGGCAGATCTGAATTAAAATACAGTGCAGAGTTTTTACCTGACGACGGCACAACACTGACAGTTTTAGGCAGACATTTTAAATTTTAACTAAGATGCACTGAAGTGCCAAATTATTGACCACACGTGTCTGCAGCACGATTAGACACTCGTTTATTTAGTTTGTCAGCAAAAAAAAGTTGATTTGGGGGTGACTTGCTCTTTAAATAAAAATGTTTTATTTTGTGGTTGGCAATAAGTCCCAAAACTTCCTGTAAAAAATTAAATGATCAGAAATAAACGCTTTTTTATTTGCAGAGAAAATTTTTAATTATAAATTATTTAGCTAAAGACAAAAAGCCCTAATTTTACTTAAATTTCTGTAACTGCTGCACATCATAAACGTGTGGGAAAGCGAGGTTACAGCCTGCACAAAATATAAAAACTATGATAAAAGTGTATTTCTGACTGGTTTTATCTCTGCTTGTTATTATAACTGACCCTGATAAGCCCATTCACCAGTTATAAATACTGGTTTACCGAACCTCAGCAGCTCTCCCGCTGGAAAAACCGAACTTTGAATGTTGTTATTGGAACTTTAACCAACATAAACACATAAGTTGTTCCTGCAGGTGTGAATCCGGTGCTGTACTCCATAAATGATCCAAACCAACCCGGGCGCTGTTGACTTTGACCAGTCTGGTGGGTTAACAGGTTAAACTGTGACTATCTGAGGTTAGCACAAAGTAAAGCCGCGGTAAGTTACGGTGAAGTTACCGGTAATGCCTCACGCGCTGACCAGCACGGCCGCGTTACACCGGAAAACTCCGGGTTTGACTCCGATATTCCAGGATAAGTTAGTATGGAGGAGCCGTTTCCCAGGCCTCGATCCAGGAGAAGCTCCCAGATCCTCCTCTGAGATCTAACTCCAGCCTTCCACCTCCACACAACACTCCCGACACACACAAACACAACTTTAGTCTAACTCACCCCCCATCACTCATTTAAGTGCTTCTAGGGGGAGTTTGCGCACTTTTCGCAACAGTTGTCAACTTTTCCTACCTGCACGGAGTCTGCGGCCATCTTGATTTTCTCCTTTGAATCAGATCCTACCGAGGGGGGGTGTTAATGTTCCCTCTTCTGCCGAGGAACGAAGGACGGGATTATTTGGGTGGAACCATCGCTCGTCTGGGACACAGCGGACGTCTCATCCCGTCTTTAGTCTCACCGTCCCGATGGAGTCCTGGAGGCCGGGCTCGTGGTTACATGAAGAGGCGACAGCGCCAGTCTGTCCCGCTGTAGATGGAGAAAGAGGCGGTGGTTTGGAGTGGAAGCGTCCGCCCAGAGCAGCTGTAGCTCTGCGAAGACTCCCGCTGCTGGCCCGCTCTGGCCCGGGCACGCGCACGCTCCCAACACCCGAGCCCATGTCAAGGCGACAGTGGCGCACCTAGAGGTTTGTTCTTCAGGTGCCATGAGGCTAGCAGCTTCAGTGAGGGGGTTGCGTTTAGCTTTTTGTTTTTACACTTTTTAAACTTTAATATAAACCAAAGTTCTCATTGGCTTTCATAAACTACAAAAAAAAGCTTTTTAATGGAAGGTGCTAGAGGCATGAAGGAATCCTGACTTAAGTCGAGCCTGCGTTATACCTCTGCGTCCGCTTTACGAGGGAGAGACGCGCACGGACAGAGATGTCTCCGTCTCCTGGGAAGTGTTGCAACATAGTGTTATTTATCTTGTGTTTGAGACACTTTTTAACACAGACTAATTTGTCTCTCATTCCACCTTTTCATGTGCTCGTCGCCACCTCTAAACCTACATTTCCCATCATTTCCGTCCAAATAAAATGCTTGCTGCATATTTTTTCACTCCTCCAGTCACGGGGGAATAAAACAGTCATATTTTCAGAGGTTTTCCACAAGGTATTATTCAAGCTGTCTGTCGCTAGATATTTTTGGCTCTCTTAATGTTTTTGAGAGCGCAATGGCGGTGCTGTCGACGACAGAGGCGTCCTGACCAGTCACAAGCTTGTGTTCTCCGTCTCGTTGGACGGATGTTTAGAAAAGAGAGCTCGACTCCGTCCGTCCTTGCAAGCCTGCTGGAGAGCCCACGCAAGGATGGCTAATGGCGTTGCATGCATCCGCCCCGACGCAGACAGAGAAGTGTACATTAGACTTCAGGCTCAAGTCATTAATTGGATGACTTTAGCGCCAGTTATAGCGTAGGTCTATGGAAAATATTGTTGCACCCAAAGAGGAAAAGGAAATGCGTCACAAGACAATATGAAGTATAGATCTTTTAGTTTAATTATATATATATATATATTTATTTTTTAATATAAATATATATATATTTTTAATATAAAAAAATATATATATATATATTCATATTAAAATATATATATATATTTTTTAAATATATATATATATATATATATATATATATATATATATATATATATATATATATATATATATATATATATATATATATATATATAAATTTGTGCTTCCTATCTTCTTCATCCTGTGAGACTGGTGGGGCGGCGCCCTAGCCCAATGAATGAGCCACCACTGAGTGGATGGCTTCTTATACTGAGCCAGGATTCTCTGGAGGTTTCTTCCTGTTAAAAGGGAGTTTTTCTCTCCACTGTCGCTGCATGCTTGCTTAGAATGAGGATTGCTGTAAAGACTCTGACACTAGTCAGTGACTCGATGCAACCTGCTGGGTTCCTTATATAGGAAAGTGTTTACTGATGAACTGACCTGAATTGGAATGTTTACTATGTGAAGTGCCTTGAGACGACTCGTCGTGATTTGGTGAAATATAAATAAACTGAATTGAACTAAAAGACTTGGACTTGACTTAGACTTTCACCTGTTTACTTGAAAAGACTTGATATAGTACTCAATATTTAACTTTGAAAATCTTCTTTCAAAATTGCCCAGTTTTAAGTCATTCACTCATCCCATATTCTCCCATATTAACAAACAGATGTGTCTCTGGACGCTAGTCTGTTAGCGAGCTGCAGCACAGCCAATCAGATTAATCAGATTTAGAAAAAGCCATCACAAACACATGTTGTTAGACAAGATGAGAGGAGATGATATAAATTCACTGCAATAGTTCTCTGCATGTTTGTATTTTTCACCATTTTATTCTGTGACATTGTGGTGTAAGAGTCATATATCGTGTAAATTTCACATTTTGGAGTTTGTGACCATGTTGTATTGTTATATCCTTACGAAAACACCCCAAAGTGGTTTTTGGCTACACTCACGCATTTTCCTGTCTCAGTTGCAAATTTAGAGTTTTACTTTGAAAATCCTGTAAAGCTTTAGTGGAAACTAATGTCGTCATCAGGCCCCGCTCCTCTCCCGGAAGCTAGTCTCAGTACTGTCATTCGTTGCGGGAGTGTGGATGGTGTCGGATAAAACTTGTCTCTTTTTTTTCTCTTCTCTTGCCTGAGCTGTCAGTGCTGTATGCGTGATGAGCTTCACGGCAGTGATGTGCTTTTCGCGCATTTAGAGAGAAATTTTCTGTGGCGCTGTGCCAGGACGAGCATGTCTGAGGGGAGAAGAGGTTAGATGTGGCAGTTGGAGTGTGTGCAACAGCAGGTGAGGCGAACATGTACGGGTGGCAGACGCAGGGTGTGAAAGCAGGTACATGTCTGGGAACGTTACTGCATTCATTACATTACCTGATGGGACCTGTAAATATTGGTGGAGACAAATCTGTAAGAGGAGAAAAGAAAAACAAACAGTGCTACCGAAAGGTGAGCATACGAGTAGCAGTACAGGAAACAAGATGTGGACACATTTTAACCACAGTGACAAATAAGGCAATCAGAGTGTGGAACATGCAAAGGGAAAATATTCAGCAGGCTCTAATGGTTCAAAGTTAATAAATATTTTTCAGGCAGAATTAATCATGAAAAATGTTTTTGTAGCTCTCTGCTTCATGTTGAATGAAATGTTATTTCAATAAGAAACGTGATATGATAATATTGTAGATTAGTAATACAATTTACACGCAGTTTTGTTTAATTTCAGGTGAAAATTTTATTCAAGAACTAAAACATGTGAGGAGCCGCTTGAGAGCAGAAAAAGCCAGTTCACTTTAGTGAGCCAAGCCATAAGAAATGGTTCTCTTAAAAGAGCCGGAGTTCCCAATCACTGTACAGGTCCTTCTCAAAAAATTAGCATATTGTGATTAAGTTCATTATTGTCTGTATTGTACTGATAAACATTAGACTTTTATATATATTAGATTCATTACACACAACTGAAGTAGTTCAAGCCTTTTATTGTTTCTAATACTGATGATTTTGGCGTACAGCTCATGAAAACCCAAAATTCCTATCTCTAAAAATTAGCATATCATGAAAAGGTTCTCTAAACGAGCTATTAACCTAATCATCTGAATCAACTAATTAACTCTAATCACCTGCAAAAGATTCCTGAGGCTTTTAAAAACTCCCAGCCTGGTTCATTACTCAAAACCGCAATCATGGGTAAGACCGCCGACCTGACTGCTGTCCAGAAGGCCATCATTGACACCCTCAAGCAAGAGGATAAGACACAGAAAGAAATTTCTGAACGAATAGGCTGTTCCCAGAGTGCTGTATCAAGGCACCTCAGTGGGAAGTCTGTGGGAAGGAAAAAGTGTGGCAGAAAACGCTGCACAACCAGAAGAGGTGACCGGACCCTGAGGAAGATTGTGGAGAAGGACCGATTCCAGACCTTAGGGGACCTGTGGAAGCAGTGGACTGAGTCTGGAGTAGAAACATCCAGAGCCACCGTGTACAGGTGTGTGCAGGAAATTGGCTACAGGTGCCGCATTCCCCAGGTCAAGCCACTTTTGAACCAGAAACAGCGACAGAAGCGCCTGACCTGGGCTACGTAGAAGCAGCACTTCTGAAAGGGGCCAAGCACTACATGATGAAAAGGCGAACAAGCTTTAAGCTCGCTTTAAAGTCAGGTATGAAAGGTGGAAAGTTGTTGCAAAACAAGGCAAAAAGGCACTTGAGAAACCTGTTAGTGCAAAACTTAAAGAGCTTATTGACCGAGTCGAATATGCCTCGACAGAAGTGAAACAAGTTTATGATGAACTGCGCAGTCATGAAACTCCTGATGCAGACACTCACCGCAGAGTGGATACCTGTGATGCGGTTTCGCAGAAGATCATAAGGCTAACTCAAGAAAAATTAGCAGCAGAAGAAGTCGAAGAACTTTCTGACATATTAGTTCACTGGAGTGATAAAGGATCATCATTCAAATCTGCAACCTCTCAAAGATCCAAGAGTTCAAATAGCAGGCAATCAAGATGCTCAAGTAAGTTGTCTGTAAAGAGGCAAGAAGCAGCTGCAGAGCTGGCGGCTACTGAAGCAACTCTGAAGATTATGGAGGAAATGGAAAGTGAAAGAAAGGCACTTGAAATCCTTGAAGCAGAGAATGCTGAGAAACAGAAGGCCTTAGAGCAAAAGCGAAGAGAGCTTGAAAGGCTAGAAACAGTAAAGAAAATGAATGCTGCTAAAGCACGTCTGAAAGTGTACAATGAGGAAGGAAACTCAGATGACGAAATATCAGACATTCTGCACGAAAGGAGTAAACGGAGAAATGTCACATCCAATCCGAATAATCAGTTTGCACATTCGCAACTTAATGCAAATGCAGAGCCGTTTGATATGCCACAAGCCAACTCAAGGGCACAAACAAGAGAAAGCAAACATGAAGATAGTACCACAACATTGGCCCAAGCTATCTTCACAAGTATGTTGGAGGACCGGCGCGAAAGGCTGTTGAGAGTTATTTTCTGTTGGGAACAGAGCGTGCTTATTACTCAGCATGGAATATTTTGGAAGAAAGATACGGAAGTTCATTTGTAATCACCAAAGCTTTCAGAGATAAGTTGACATCATGGCCAAGGATTGGTAACAAGGATAGCGTTGAACTTCGAGAATTTTCAGATTTTCTCAGAGGATGTGAAGCGGCCATGCTTCAGGTTAAAGGTCTTGAAGTTTTGAACGACTGCCATGAGAATCAGAGAATGCTAAGCAAGCTACCTGATTGGTTGTCAGAAAGATGGAATCGAAAGGTTATTGAAATTGAAGAGCAAGATGGTTCTTTTCCAACATTTAGCCACTTTGTTGACTTCATTGCGAGAGAGGCCAAGATTGCGTGCAATCCAGTAGCATCGCTTCATGCACTCAAAGCAGGTGACTCAGAGAAAATGAAATCATCCAAGACAAGAAGCATTGGAGTAAAGGTGCTAGTGAGTGCTGCAGAAGAGACGTCCAAC